GTAAAATACTAAATAGAGTATTTATGAAATCTCATTTCTATAGAATTGTTTTTAAATAATCGTTTGTTGCCTCATAACAATAATATTTAATTCTTGTTAATTTCTTTTCTTTTAAACTGAAACTAAAGTAGTTACACTTTGTGATGGAAATGAATATGTAAATGATCCTCCTGTTACTTTTATGTTATTTTGTTGTTGGAAATTTTTGCCTTGAGAAGTAATATATGAACTAAATGAAGATAGTAATGTTCCACCATTAATTGAAAATTGTTGTGATATAGGCGAGGATCCTATATTTATTGCTACAATTACTACCTTTAAAAAATAATTAAAAATATTTTTAAAAATAACAGAGAAAGCTTCAGTCTAGTAACCTCATCGTATCCAATAACACAACTAATAAATTATTTTACATTTAATTAAGTCTATATAATTAATAATTAAATAGTAATAATTAAAAGAAATCCTTAGTAGGTATTGAAGGATTCGATTAAATTAACTAATAACCTTTCCATTCCCTGTGTATGCACTCACAAGCAAATTATTATTATTAGAACTGACTGAATTAACTCTAAAGTATCCTGGTCTAATAAATTTTGCAAAATGCCCAATAACAAAAGCTTTAGGCGTTAATTGCATATTTTGAAATAAAAGCATCATATTTGAGGAAGGATTTGGATTTGTATCTCTTAACCACCAATGAATATAGGCATTAAATTCAGCCTTTGCCATACAATTGTGAATATCTTCGGCTGTTTTCATAACACTATTAAAGTCATTTCCATCAATTGAATGTTCGGTCATCCAAAATTGCTTTTCAGATTTTTTTACTAAAGGTTGGGGTTTCATAGAAAATCCATATGCATGAATTGCATCAATATCAACTACGGCAGCTGATTGAGGGTCGTTCTTTAATTAAATTTTTTATTGAAATACTTATTTTTATTTTAGCTCAAATAATTTAAATGTTAAATTCAGAGGTAATTATTAAATGTATTATTTATTACAGATGTACAGTTAAGTAGTAAAAATAATTATTTGGGTTTTATTATTAACAATAATTCCTTAACTTAAAATAAACCTACCAAAATTGCATCATTCATATCTGTTTTATATCCATAAGTTTCGGGTGCCATAATCTTTATATTGCCTCCCGATTTAATTCTTTGCGCAAAATTTTTTAAAAAATTTTTCATTTGATCTGTTGTAAAACTCATTGTATTATAAGTTACTTGTAAAGCAAAATCAGGTTCATTAATTATCGAAATTGCATAAAGAGAAACACCATTATTTTTGAAATAATCAACGAAACTTTTTAAATAATCGGCATAATTGCTATATTGGTTAGAACTGAGAGAGCCAGGTTTATCTTGTTTATTGTCTTTCATATTAGCTGGGGCAGACCAGGGAGAGGCAAATACTTTGGCATTAAATTTTAATGCTTTTTTGGCATTTGATAATTCATCATTCCATCGTTTATGTTCGTCGATTCGAATACGAAGGATTGAATAACCGAGAGTTCCAAATCTATAAATTCAAACAAATTTATGTATCTAAATATTCCTGCAAGTATTTATAAAATTATTAATAAATAATTATTTATATATTCGAATTTTATATATATTAAATAAAAATTTCTTTGAATGTTAAGCATTTCTAGAGTCTTTCAGACACTCAGATTATTTAAATAAATAAAAAATCCCTTACAGTTCATTCATTATCTGATCGGAAACTGCTCCTTGCCAAGCTGTAGATGCACCAAACCCGTCAATAACTTGGTGTTTTTCATTAAGATTAATAATGACATTTCCATTATTACGGTCAAATTGCGAAGAAAAAATTATCAAAAAAATAATTAAAAATATTAAATTTTTCATTTTTTAAATTTTGTTTTCTAATAAATAAATGGGAAAGTTTAAATAAAAATTAATTAAATATAACTAAATAAAATTATTATTTATATTAAATTTAAATATCAAAGATTACATTAATCTTTGAGAGTTATAAAAACTTAATAAATGTTGCACCCTTTTTAAAAAATAAATAAACGTGTTATATTTTTTTAAATAAAAAATTTATTGATGTACATATATTCCCCTAATATTTTATTTACTCACGGCAAAATCAACCATAGGCGCGTGTGTCTATAAAATACTAATCACCTGGGTATTTTAAAATATCTTCATTAAAGTTATTTAACACATTACAATTTTACAAATTAATAATTGAATATTCTGGTTGTTCTGTACAAATGCCCATTTTTATTTAAAAATTATTCTAAATATTTGATATATCATTTAACTCAAAAATTAATCGAGTAATCGAGTTTTTGGACTTTTCTACATAATATACTTTGGAAAAAATTATTCTAATACAAATCTGGTCTCAAGTAAGTTGATAAATTGTATAAAAATTAATAATAAATTTATAAAATAATTAATAATAAATATTAGAATAAATTTATTTGAAAATTTATAATTTCTTAACAAACTACATATGTATGTACATAATTTTTTTAAATTAATGAATTAAATTTAAAAAAATATAATCTATGAACCTTAATGGTTTTTAATATTTTTTTAAAAATATTGAATCTAAATTATAGCTACATGAAATTTATTTTTATTTAAAAAATAAAAAAAAATTTAACTGGCAAAGTTAATATTTTGGTAAGTTAGGTAGCAGGGGGGTTATATTTAACAGGGGTTATCAAAATGCGAAAGGCCGAATATGGAAGTCGAGATGGCACACCCCGGATTTGTATGTAATACATACTGAAAGTCTTCCGAGAATATTAAGAGAAAAAAGTTATCAAGAAAAAAGAAATGCTTAGATTTTTAGAATAAAATTTTTTTATTCTTTTTCTATTTCTTATTTAAGTTTTTAAAATTATTTAAATAAAAAAATATTCAATCTTTTTTAATTAAATTATTTTTTAGACAGAAATTATTGCCTTTTATGTATAATTTAAACAAACATTTAATATTAAAAAGTGCATACAATTATTAATAAAAAAATTTATTATAGTTCAATTTTTAATTTAAATAAAAAAGATAAATTATTTCCCAATTTTTCATTGTCAAGCTAATTAAATGAAATAATTGTTTAATAATAAAGGCTTTTTCGAAACGAGACAAAATTCAAACTTTTTTTCTAAACTTTTTCTTTTTTTCTGTACTCTTTATTTTAAAAAGTACATTTTTTAATTTTAATTATTTTTTTTCTAATATAAAATAAATTTTTGTTAAAAATTAATCTTTAAATTAATAAAAATTAAATAATTTTTTACCTTTAACAGCCAAGGTAATCCAAGCTTTTTTAATCGAAGAAAATAAAAATATTTAAAAAATTATTTTTTTAACAAACTTATATTTTTTTTCTTCAGATAATTAATGAACATAAATGTATTAAATTTAAAAAATATAAAATTTATTTATTTAAATAACATTTTGAGCTATTTAATATTTTTATTTAATTAAATTATTAAACCTTGCAATAATTTTAATAGATTTAGGTTAGGTTAGTAATCCAAGTCATTCGAATTGACTATGTAATCTTCTCAATTAAAAAGCTTGTATTACCCTGTCAGCTAGCGAAAAAACTAATTTAACTTAAATAAAACATTTTAACAAATTAATAAAATAAACATTTTTTATGATAAAAATACTTTTGTGTTTAATAATAATTTCAACATAAATATTAGTAATTTTACTAAAAAATCTTGACTTAAAAAATTAGGTTAAAAATTTTAAAATTTAATAGGAAAATTAATAAATCAAAAAATACTATTAAAAACCAAATTGAATTTATTAAGTTGTATGAGCCGAATTGACCCATAAAGAGTGTAACGGATTCCTGTTCCCGTTTCAATAACTACGAAAATCCTTATATGAATGAAAATTCTTTCGGAAATACTATTATGCTAACGAATCCGGATCAGGTACACTAGCAAAATTAAAAAAAATATAAAATAGATTTAATTTTATTATGAAGAATGTTAATTTATATTTATCATTTTATTATCATTTTAAATCAAATTGTATTCTCTTGTATTTCTTCCTTCAGATAATTAATGCCCCTAAATTTTATTAAATTAAAAAAATGGAATAATTATTCTAATTAAATAATTATTAAGATAATTTAATATGTTCATTTATTTAATTAAAATGATTACCTTGCAAGCTTTCAAGCATAACTTTTCACTATTGAAACGATTATTATTGCCACCACATCCTTTGTATTGGAATGACTTTAAAAATATTTTTTATTAAATTAAATTTAAATTTATTTTTACCTTACAAACTTTCTCTTTAGCTACATACCACCAACGAGTACCCCCTGCATGTCCACAAAATATTCCAACTTCTTTAGGTTCAAGACAACGCTAAAATAATTTTATTATAATTATTTACCCAATATTCGGGGTTTTTCTTAAATTAATTCGTGTAGGAGGTTTCCAAATTATAACACAGGGTTCGAACATTAATTATTTTTAAATTAAATATTTATTTATTTACATCATTTTTTGGAAATTTTTTAGAAGTAGTTAAATTAATTAGAATGGTTAATACAATTAATACAATTACGAATTTTGACATTTTATTTAAATAGAAATTAATTTTAATTTTTAAGTTAATATTTAATTATTTAAATTTAAAATGCTTATATATAGTATTCAATATTAGTTAATAAAAATAAATAAACAAGGAATTAAATAATGATTTTTAAATTTTTCTATTAAAAAATAACATTTTTTATTAATTAAAAAACAATTAAAAATATTTTATTTAACTAAATATACATTGTTTTTGACTTTTTTGATAATATAAAGTTTAACTTCCTATAATAAAATATTAGTAATTATTTGTTTAAAAAATTTAATATAATAAACTTATTTTTTATGAATTTATTTTAATTTATATATAAACAATTTAAATTTAAATATTTCTAACATTAACTTAAACATTAAAAATTCTAATTAATTCTACTATTTAAATAAAATGTCAAAATTCCTAATTTTCTTAATTGTATTAACTACCTTAATTAATTTAAGTGAATGTAAAGTAGATGTAAATAAATAAATATATTTAAATTAATTTAAAAATTAATTCATATTTTTAGCGTTGTCGCCAACCTAAAGCTGAGGGAAATAATTGTGGAGGTACTCGTTGGTGGTATGTAGCTAAAGAGAAAGCTTGTAAGGTAAAAATAAATTTAAATTAAATTAAACAAAATTTATTTTTAAAGTCATTCCAATACAAAGGATGTGGGGGAAATCAGAACAATTTTAATTCCAAAGCTAGTTGTCAGAAGTCTTGCAAAGTAATTAATTAAATATGGTCATAAAATGTATAATTAATTAAATTTAGGGGCATTAATTATATGAAGGATGATATATGTACAAGAATATGATAATAAAATAATATATAAATTAACTTGATAAATATATTTTTTAAAAATAAAACAAAATTTATTTTAGGGTTTTTAAACTTTGTAAATAGCTATTCAATTTCTTCTTATTTAAAAAGCTTGCATTACCCTGCCAGCTAGCGAAAAGACAAACTTAACATAAAGAAATCTTCGGGGTTCGGTATCGGGGGTTTCGAGGGTCGTGTTGCTACCCAATTTTGAATTAATAATCCAAAAAGGATTCTAATTTATAAAATTTATGTTTATAGAATAGGTAATATGTATATAATAGTAAAGAATTGTTAAGGTGTAAAAATTAAAGAGTTATTTCTTTAATAAAATTTTTAATTTATCAGATTTGAGGAAAGTTTTACGAAAATAAAAAAATTTAAAATAAAAGAAAGAATTTAATAGCCAGATTAATTAAATAAAATCTTCGTTCTAAAATCCATTTTTAATAAAATCATCTTTAAATAATTATTTATTGCCCCATAATATTAATATTTTTCTTTTAAACTGAAACTAAAGTAGTTACACTTTGTGATGGAAATGAATATGTAAATGATCCTTCTTCCGTTACGTTAATGTTATTTTGTTGTTGAAAATTTTTGCCTTGAGAAGTAATATATGAACTGAATGAAAATGCTAATGTTCCCCCATTAATTGAAAATTGTTCTGAGATAGGCGAGGATCCCATATTTATTGCTACAATTACTACCTTTAAAAATAATTAAAAATATTTTTAAAAATAACTGATAAATCTCAGTTTAGTGTACCCTCCTATCCAATAACACAACTAATAAATTCTTTTATATTTAATTAAGACTATACTTATATGATATTAATTAACTAGATAATAATTTAAAAAATACGAATAGTTTTTCGAAAAATTATAACTAATACACAACTAAATTAATTGATTAATTACCTTTCCATTCCCTGTGTATGCACTCACAAGCAAATTATTATTAGAACTGACAGAATTAACTCGAAAATATCCAGGCCTAATAAATTTTGCAAAATGTCCAATAACAAAAGCGTTAGGCGTTAATTGCCAATTTTGTTTTAAAAGCATCATAGTTATTGAATTACCCCTCAACCACCAATGAATATAAGCATTAAATTCAGCAATTGTCATACAATTGTGAATATCTTCGGCTGTTTTCATAACAGTATTAAAATCATTTCCATCAATAAAATGTTCGGTCATCCAAAATTGCTTTCCAGATTTTTTTACTAAAGGTTGGGGTTTCATAATAAATCCATATCCATGCATTGCATCAATATCAATTACGGCAGCTGATTCAGGATCGTTCTTTAATTATATTTTTTTTATTAAAATATTGTTTTTATTTTAGCTTAAATAATTTAGAAATTAAATTTAGAGGTAATTATTATTACTTATGTACAGTTAAGTAGTAAAAATAATTATTTGGGTTTTCTTATTAACAATAATTTTTTAAATTAAAAAAATTTTACCAAAATTGCATCATTCATTTCTGTTCTATATCCATAAGATTCGGCTGCTATAATTTTTACATTACTTCCCGATTTAATTTTACTCGCAAAATTTTTCAAAAAAATTTTCATTTGATCTGGTGTAAAAGACATTGGATTACCAACATAATCAGGCTCATTAATTATCGAAATTGCATAAAGAGGTGCACCATTATTTTTGAAATAATCAACAAAACTTTTTAAATAATCAGCATAATTGCTATATTGGTTAGAACTGAGAGAGCCTGGTTTGTCTTCTTGTTTATTTTCTTTCATATTAGCTGGAGCAGACCAAGGAGAGGCGAATACTTTGGCATTAAATTTTAATGCATTTTTGGCATTTGATAATTCATCATTCCATCGTTTATGTTCGTCAATTCGAATACGAAGGATTGAATAACCGAGAGTTCCAAATCTATAAATTCAAACAAATTTATGTATGTAAACATTCCTGCAAGTATTTATAAAATTATTAATAAATAATTATTTATATATTCGAATCTTATATACCGTAAATGCTGAAATAATGTCCCTCTCTCAAATAATTACCCCCTCCTTTTAATTACCCCCTCCAGCGGGAGGTTGAAATACTAATTACCCTGGGTAATTATTTTAGCAAATACGGTATATTAAATAAAATTTCTTTGAATGTTAAGCATTTCTAGAGTCTTTCAGACACTCAGATTATTTAAATGAATAAAAAATCCCTTACAGTTCATTCATTGTCTGATTGGGTACTGCTCCATTCCAAGCTGAAGATGCACCGAATCCATCAATAACTTGGCGTTTTTCATTAAGATTAATAGTTACATTTCCATTATTACGGTCAAATTGCGACGAAAAAATTATCAAAAAAATAATTAAAAATATTAAATTTTTCATTTTTTAAATTTTGTTTTCTAATAAATAATTGGGAAATTCAAATAAAAATTAATTAATTGAATATAACTAAATAAAATGATTATTTATATTAAATTTAAATATCAAAGATCTGTTTGAACAGGGGGAATTGTGAAACACGTTGAATATTATGCAAGCGGAATATTGAAACTGGCGAAAATTTTATAGCTGAAAAAACAAAGCCTTCGAGAAATATAAGAGAAAATTAAGAGAAATTAATAAAATTAAGAGAACCGTACGAGAGAACCTTCCGAAATAAAATTAAGAGAACCTTCCGAGATTATTAAGAGAAAATTATTTAAGCAAGCATTAGTTTTAAACAAACATTTTCAATCTTTTTTAATTTAATTAATTTTTTATATTAATTAATTTTAAGCATTAATTTTAAACAAACGCCTTGGACCTTTGCGAATAAAGAATCGACAATTCTGGGGGTGTCATATCTCTTCTAATACTTATATTTTTTGGTAAATTTGGGAAAAAAGGAAGTTGTCTAATAATGTGGTTTATTATTTAATTATCTAATCAAGATTTTGAACTTTTTTTACTACTTTAGAAAAAATATATTTCAATACAAATCTGTCCCAAGTAATCAGAAAAAGTTGTTATTTCACTTTATCTTTATTTGAAAATTTATAATTTCTCAACAAAGTACATAAACTTTTTTTAAAATTAATGAATTAAATTTTAAAAAATAATCTATGAACATTAATGGTTTTTAATAATTTTTTTTAGATTTTGATAGCTGAAAAACTTAAAGCCTTCCGAGAATATTAAGAGAAAAATTTAAATAAAAAAGTAAAATTATTTCCAAACTTTTTCATTGTCAAGCTAATTAAATAAACCAATTGCTTAATAAGATAAGTTTTTTAGAAGCAAAACTGAATTTTTTACCCAATATCCGGTTTTTCTCTTAAATTAACTCGGAGTTTCCAAATTAAAACTTTTTAAATTAAATATTCATTTATCTATTTACATCATTTTTGGAAATTTTTTTGAATTAATTAAATTAATTAAAGTAGTTAATTTAATTAAAGAAATTATTAATTTTGACATTTTAAGCAATTTAGTTTTTATTTTAAATTATTTAAATTATTTAAATTTATAAAAAATAAGTTTATTATAATAAATTTTTTAAATAAATAATTACTAATATTTTTTCATTTTATTGAAGGAAGTTAAACTTTATATTATCAAAACAGTCAAAAACAAAGTATTTAGTTAAATAAAATATTTTTAATTGTTTTTTAATTAATAAAAAATGTTATTTTTTAATAGAAAAATTTAAAAATAATTATTTAATTCCTTGTTTATTTATTTTTATTGATCCATGTTGAATATTATATAAGAAATTAAAATTTAGACTTAAACATTAAAATTAACTTAAACATTAAAATTAAATTTATTTAATTAAATAAAATGTCAAAATTCCTAATTTTATTAATTGTATTAACTACTTTAATTAATTTAACTACTTCAAAAAAATTTCCAAAAAATGATGTAAATAAATAAATATATTTTATTTGTAAATAATTAATGTTCGAACCCTGTGTTATAATTTGGAAACCTCCTACACGAATTAATTTAAGAGAAACCCCGAATATTGGGTAAATAATTGTAATAAGATCATTTTAGCGCTGTCTTGAACCTAAGGAAGTTGGAATATTTTGTGGACATGCAGGGGGTCCTCGTTGGTGGTATGTAGCTAAAGAGAAAGTTTGTAAGGTAAAAATAAATTTAAATTAAATAAAAATAATTTAAAAAAATTTTAATTTAAAGTCATTCCAATACAAAGGATGTGGAGGCAATAATAATCGTTTCAATAGTGAAAAGTTATGCTTGAAAGCTTGCAAGGTAATTTTAATTAATTAATTAATTACTTTTTCTACTTTCTTATTAATTTAATAAAATTTAGGGTCATTAATTATTTAAAGGAGGAAATACAAGAATATTTATGATGATAAAATATTTAATATATAAATTAACTTGATAAATATGTATATTTTCTGCAAATGAAACAAAATTTATTTTAGGGTTTTTTAAAAAACTTTGTAAATAGCTATTCAATTTCTTCTCAATTAAAAAGCTTGTATTACCCTGTCAGCTAGCCAAAAAACAAATTTAACATAAAACATTTTAACAAATTAAAATTTATAAATCCTGTTAAATATCCTCCCTATTATTTTTGTCCTTTCTTTTTTATGTAAATTTTTGAAATTAATTGTAATAATCTGCAACCAATTTTATAAAATAAAAAATTTTTTAAATCGACTAAAATTTAAACAAAGTTTGATGTACATACCTTTCAATTTAAATATTTTTGGATTTTCATAAACATTAAAAATTTACACAAATATTTTAATGAATCATTTAATAAAAAGTAAATAATTAATAATTTAAATTAATAATTAAAATTTAATATTAACATTTATTTTAATTATTCTCTTTAATTTATTTCACTTTCATTTAATTAATTTTAAGTATTTCTTTAATTTTTTCTTATGATAGTAAATCCTCTAAGCTTTAAC